TATTGTTTTTTTTAAACAGTCATAAAGTACATGAATAACATTTCTCTAATCAAGCATCGAAGGTTTGCCATGTGTTTCGTGTGAAAATCACAAAAAAGGGATAGTGTCTATCACTTACAGATGTATGGCACCACAGGATTGAAATCTCGACATAAAAACATGGAAATTTAAAAGATTCGGAAAATGCATCTTTCATGTAAACATGGCCAATCAAGACATCCGACTCACAGGAGAAATTCATGATTCTATCGAAAGAGAACTACAGAAAATAAAAATACTGTATTATCTGTTCTTATCTCTGAAACAATAATAACCAACTTTTACTGGAAAACAGGATCTACAGCTAATGTGTATGGTATCAGCCAATAATGCTGCTCCAATTATTTCTGTGCATGTTGCGCATAGCCTATATACTGTATGGGTGTGCAAAAATGTTTCCAAGTTGTGAAATTTCAGTGGGATGGCACTTTAAATTTGCATTATAATGCAGTAATTTGATTGGCAAAGCACATGCAACCAAATGAAAAATACTGCATACACAAAATGACAAATTTATTTCCAATGACAGTCTTTTCCATTTGACCTTTCAGACTATATCCAAAACTAACCAAATTAACAAATCAAAAAACATAATTCAAGCTTAGAAGATCTCTTAGGCATCTGGCTAAAATAGAATTGATCAAGCTATCCCAGACTGTAACTGGTATAACCATAACATAACTGTGTCCGACCCCAGAACATAGCAACAACAAGGGAATAGCTCCTTGGAGCTATATAGGCATGTGTCCAAGTCCCTTGGGCATCTGGAGGGAAATAGTTCCTGTAGGCATGTGTCCAAGTCCCTTGGGCATCTGGAGGGAAATAGTTCCTGTAGACATGTGTCCAAGTCCCTTGGGCATCTGGAGGGAAATAGCTCCTGTAGGCATGAGTCTAAGTCACCTGGACATTGGGAGGGAGATAGCACCCATAGGCACGTGTCTTAGTCCCCAGGGCTCTTTTAGGCAAGTCTAAATTCCTAGGTTTTTTGAAAAAGCTATAGCTTCCTATAGGCATGTGCCCAATTCCCAAAGATGTCAGGAGGAAGATAGCAGCTCCTGAAGGTAAGTGTTCAGATCCCCTGGACATTAGGATGGAGATAGCCATTTTGATGATGTGTCCAATTCTTCTATCACTTTTAAATGTCATAGACCAATCTATTTAGACCGATATATTTTTATATAAAAAGAAAATGAATTGTTTCTAATCGACCTTAAGTGTGACGGCAGATGTCCCTCTCCTGTTCACACGTCTTGTGAATAACCCCAGCAAGCTAAGCAAAGTTTCGAATGTTTGCATCCAAAGAAGATTGTATATAACAGTATAGCTATCAATCATACAAGCTGTCAAGCTTTAGTAAGTAAACATTCCTTTTTCATAATCAGATCAAGATTCTTTGCCTCCTGACAATTTTTCGAATATTCAACCCGGTGTATATCACCACCAGGTGGTTAATCGCCTTGTACCGTCTGGCACCCCAAGAAACCACAGTATGCACCAGGAAGGCCCAGCTACCTCACGCTACCTGGAGCAGACGTCATCCCAAAGAATTCATCTCTGCTTACAATTATTGTTTTAAACTGCAAAACCAGGAACGTCACCCTGAGGATAAACCTCTACTTCCTCCAATCAGAACATATAGCCTCCATACTCGTAACTTGTGGTAACTGTTAATTACGCTCGCTATAAGAAATCTTTCAAATTTTCAGCGTCAATATTTCAATATACTGATCATTAATCTTACAATCTTAGAAGATTGGGGATTAATTTTTATCCAATATTCAAGATATTTTGATGGCAAGACTGTCTAAATCTTCTTCAAAAATGAAAACCTTGATAATAACATCAGATCATAAATGTTTCCTACTTTCTAGAAAAATCAGTGTTTTATTTCTAAATTTCATGGAAACCTGTGATTGCAAAAACTCCTTGAACATACATTAAAAAAATCAGCAGTAATGAAATTGGCTTCTATATGTAGACTCTAGTGAGAAAACACAGACCAAACATGTTTCTGAGTTGTTGATGTTGATGCCAGAAACCATGCACGTGTGTAAAACATTAAACAATGCACACAAGTCATAGAACTCAATTAGGCTAATGACAGAGAACAATGGGAGCTGTCACGAGCGGCCTGGTTACGTTGGTAGGAGTGGAGTAACGTCCGTCTGCTCAGGTAAGACTTCTGATGCTGTTGACAGCTTACAATCAATCTTACAGGCATATGGGCCTGGCTAAGTGATGAAGGCCTGGCTAAGTGATGAAGGCCTGGCTAAGTGATATAGGCCAGGCTAAGTGATGAAGGCCTGGCTAAGTGATGAAGGCCTGGCTAAGTGATGAGTATAGAAGGAATTTGGAGTGTCCACAGAATCATTTTGTTTTCAAACACTATCAGTATCGGGCATAACATTTACTCCTTCCTTCTTTCAAAATGTATCCCCTTAAACTGCAATAAATTTCAAAATATTATGCTAATTTACAATGTTTTGTACTCCTCTTTGGACTCACTTGGAGCACTGTTTTATAAGAACTCTATAAAAAGGTTAATTTTATACATTTGTACATTGTATGCACTCACTATTGGGTATTCAATGTTTTCAATTCAAAATGTCCTTATCTTCAAGTAATAACATTTTGCATATCAGTCACAGGTAATTAATATTGATATTATTATTTCGACTGACAGCTGAAATCATCAGATGCATCTGTATTCAATTTTAACGGTATCTTTAACATCAAAATGGCTCTTGTAAATAAATTTACATTTCAACTTTTTCTATTCCATATATATAAATGCACTAGAGCCTAGAAAATCCATGACCAGTCGTGAATCATAATCCTGTCATCTTTTTTGGAGAGAAGACAGATTTTCCTTTTTCTCTTCAAAGGCCCCAATAAAGCAGCATTTTCCTAATCATGCCTCTTTATGTCAGAACTCTGTTTCCCTAGACCTTCCCCAGGTAAGTACACTAGATATTATCAAATACCCATGTTTTTTTTCCAATTTTAGAAAAACATTGAATTCTCAATCATTCAGTTCCATATATATTTTGCAAAACAAAAATTGGCAAATTGAAAGATTTTTGTCAACTTTCTTTCCATAATTTTTGAGATTATATAGATAGTAAATATTTGTACAATGTATTGGATTTCAAAGTGACCTTTTCCCAAGTTTGAAGCATATTTACTAGGGCTACACCGATCCACGTATATAACTCACGATACGATATGTATTGTGGTATGATGCTTACGATGCAATAAATGCTGAATTAACTAATTAATTAAAGGTAACAACTTTAAAAAATGGACTGCTGTACTGAAAAATCTTCACAGAAAGTTAACAATACGCCAGGGCCTGAAAGTCTATCAGCTGGTATATGTATGAAAGCTAGCCACCTCAAGGTGGCCTCTATCTTGTAGCACGTCAGCTAGGATCGATCGAAAGCACTGATGACGACATACGATAAATACCATCCAATTATTTTAAGCAGGTATGTAACACCTTCAAATGAAATTCCTCCAAAATAAAAATTCCTGAACTAATATAAACATACAAAAAAAGACACAGAATCTGCAAGGTGCATAGAAGATGAATTATGCTGTTTAGCAGTGTATTTTGCTCTCGTTTGAGTAAATGTATAAAAGTTAACGGAAAATCGCATTACAACCTCTAGCCTCAACACAAACATGATAAACCTTTAGCTGCAGGTACACAATTAATGAGTAAAGAGCAATGAGGTGTTGTGATGTTCACACACCTGTGCTATTTGTTGTTACTCATATATACTAACGCTGTACATACGAATCTGGGTTATCTATGGAACACCGATAAAGTCCATGTCAGAAGTTAGTTTTCTACCTTCTGTTACAGAATGTTTTATACCTGGGTTTTGCTGTTTTGCAGTACAGCATTTTTTTCCATTAACTTATAATGCATGTACCTGTCAGTATGAATTAATGTCTTCAACGACCAAATCAAGACATACCTGCACTTTTTTTTGCAATGAATTAGATTGATGTTATTTCTCCAAATTTATGCACAAATCACTAGACAACAATATCGAGAACCATTATCTTCTTAAATGGCGTTCATAATGAAAATCCTGAATACAAATTAAATCAGACTTTAACTACAATTTCAAGCTTCAGACTAACTTTGACTCATTTAAAACATCCCTCCCCTACGTAAATCAGACAAATAGATATTGATAAAAGTGATAATATTCAATTATCATCATTTCCGTCAAATAAGTTCTTTTTCAAAAGAGGCATTTTCCAGGTTTTTCATTTTTTTTCAATTTTCTTAAATTTTCACCATATCAGAGATACATTTGTAAATATATACTCTTATAACAAACCTGAAAGCAACAAATGATGAGCAAAATGCTTTAGGCCTGCTTTTCAATTTTGTCGGAACACAAAAATATGAATCTGGTGCATGCAAAACTCAAAAGAACAAATTTTATAGCGACTGAAGGATTCTAAAAAAAAAATCACTTCATTCTCACAACATAAACAAACATTCTTAATCCATCTTCAAACTTCCTTATTGAATGCTGGCTAATTAGAATTATCTTGTTTATCAGGCCTCTGTTTCAGGAACAATCTTTAACTTAAGGAACTTCCTTAACTGTAAGTTTTTCATAGGAAAGCACTATTGGAATTAAGGAAGATCTACAGTAATCTTAAGGAACATTTTCTCGTTAATTTAGGAGTGCTTTTATATGGAAGAATTTTTACCTAAGGAATTTCCTCAAGTTGAGGTAGTTGATGAAACTGGGGCCTGAACAAACAGAATTTTGGTGTTCAGTATAGCAACTTAAGTCTAAACTGACTTAACTCATTTACCCCTGAAGACACATTTGAACTCTTCCAATTCAAAGGAAGGAATAGTTCATTATGAAATTGCAAGGGTGAATGAGTTAATAGGTTCCATGGAGGAAACTTCAGGAATTGTTACTTACCTCTAAAACAGGGCCTGCACCTAGTATAGTCTGCTCCACCCCACTGCCATGTGTCCCCTTCTGGCTGAGGGCTGTCAGATGATGTAGCAGTAGGTTGGTACTCTCAGTCTTTCCAGACCCAGACTCACCAGAAATTACTATGCACTGATTTTTCTTTGTCCTCAACATGGTGTAGAATGCTGCATCGGCTATTGCGAATATATGTGGGGGTAGTTCTCCTAAACGTTTATTTTGATACAATTTCACGTATTTCGGGTTGTAAATGGGAAAGAACTTGAATGGATTAACAGCAATAAGTATAGACCCAACATATGTATATATATTTGAGTTGTGATATCTCGACTTAATGTTGTCTAGAAGTGTCCGTTCGTTCAGATCTGGTAAGTTACATAGATCGGGGTATTCTTTGTTGTTCGTGGGTGACTGTAAGAAACTAGTGAGGAAGGTATCCGCAGGACTTGTGATGTCATGGTAATCCTGCCAGGAGGAAGTTCTACTGTGGTTATCCGGGTCTTTTTTCCGCAGGTAGAACCTATATCCGGTTAGTCCAGTACCCCGTTCCATTTCTGCGTTAATGATTTTTGGCCACAAGAGCTGAATACGTACAGGGTTTTCCGACGGCTCGAGACGTCTTTCTTTACACAACTGACCACCGGTTGACAAAACTTCGGCTAATTCAAAGTTATCTGAACTACCTAGTCGTAGTTTGTTTACAGCGACAGCGACAATCTCAAGCGCTGATGTTGTTTTCTCTGCCTCTATGGAGGTGAACTCGCATTCGTAAGTGAGTGACCCTGGATATATGCGTACCATGTACGTTTCCATGCTCATGCGTCGCACGATGTGCACACGCTGCTTCGACCTTGTTGGCAGTAGATCGGCCATGATTGCTGGTTCTAGATGGACCAAACAACCAGTGAAACAAAGACTTTTCTGATAAGATCACAAACCCTACAGACTCTCAGTGTCCGTGTACCTATCACCATGGCGATAAGACTCCTCCAGTCTGTCCATCTTGATTTGCCCTATAAACTGCAGCATCTGAAAGCATGATAAAGAGGAGTTATTAATACAACCTTAATGTAGATCAGCGACATCTAGCCGTATAGACATGGTATACTTTAATCCATGATAGAATGCATAGGGATGTTAACAATCAAAGTACAAGCAGTAGAACTTTTGTTGTCTAATGGGACAGCCCAGCGGAAATCTTGAGGTGCAATAAAGGACATATCAAACCACAGGAACCTTAATTACCAGCAGTACTCCATACCAAATCAAGTAACTATTTACACCATTCTGATCACTTCCATTTATTTTTTATGGTATATATGTACTTGAACATATTCAGGTACGAATCTTTAATTCTTACATTTAAATGTTGGAGAGATTCCTATAGTTTCTTATAAAAAATAGATGTCTTGTACAGTAAACACATAGAGCAAAACATATTACGTTATCTCTGAAAAGAAAGCCTAGATATTTGATTTTGTGAACCAAAAACATATGTCTCCCCTGAATAGCCAATATGCTTTCCCCTTCTCTTGCAGAATTCATCAATTGTGCCTGAAGTCAAATAACTATGTATCTACACTTTTCTTAAATATATTTATGCTACTTGACAAACTGTCTACTACGAAATTATAAAATGCACAAATGAGTTAATGCAATTAACTAGTTATGACATGGATGGTCACAGTATACCCAAACAGTTTAAATGATTGCACAGATTTATTAGATCACCTGACCCTGAGGTAGAGGTCAAAGTCACAGTGACCTAATTATTATGACATTGCACTGAACATCATCTGTAAGTGATGCAGGCATACTGCAAATTCATCAAAACATCTATAACGGTTTGAAGTTACACAGTAAACTAAATGTTACTGAAAAGTTTAAATTATTTGACCTTTGACCTTGAGATAAAGGTCACAGTGACCTATAGACAGTGCACTGCACATCATGGTCTATTGGTGATACAGATATGCTGTAAGTTTCTTCATATCTTCAATGGTTTGCAAGTTACAGCCTGGACAAGATGTTCCTGAAAACTATGCATTTATATGACCTTTGAGTTTGAGGTCAAGGTCACCATGACCTAATCACAGTGCACTGCACATAGTGTACGTGTTCACAACACAGGTATACTGTTAGATTATAGTCCAAGGCATCTTTACCGTTTAAAGTTACGGACCTGACTGGACTGGACTAGATATTGCTGAAATGCATGCACTTATCAAACTTTGACCTTACATGTAGTTCAAAGTCACAGTGACCTAGTGACAGTGCATGCAGTGAAAGACATTGTAGAGGGTGTGTCACAAGTAACCTGCAAATTCCTTACGTAAGGACTCCAACACATGTCTATCAACAAATCAGGATCAGTGTTTCAACCTTCAGACCTCACATACAGCCAACATGTACATACAAGGGCCCTCAGGATGGAAAATTTACACCTGACAATGAGTTTGTTGCCCATTGTAAACAACCATGACAGTAAAATACAGTTTAAGCAGTGAACTCTTCCAATATATGACTACATATACACACACAAACTGAAATATTGAAAACACAGCACACCTTCTTACAGCCATCCTAAAGACTACACTAGTTTACTTCCTCTACAATCCCGGTGACTACTGTACATATTACCATAATATACTTCATACTGATATAAACACAGACATTGCCTACCAGACATAACAGATCTCCCAGTGTTACCCACATGTCACTACAGCATGGGGATAAGTTCACAGTCTTACATACCTAATATTCAGTGTATAACCAGAAGTATTAGACTTGGTTGAATACACATCAACTGTTTACATACCAAGTTTTGCTTCCTCGTATACGTAGAAGCATGTTCTACTTATTTACATTAGTATATATACAAACAGTCAAATCTGTATTAAGAGACTTAGAGGAAGGAAAGGCTCAAAAAATGGTATTGGGCAGAGGTCGCTATAAATTACCCAACCTGAATTATAACCACAATATGCTATTTAACTCATCCACCCCTGAAATTTCATAGTGAACTATTCCAACCTTTGAATTGGAAGAGTTCAAATGTGTCCTCAGGGGTAAATGAGTTAACAATCACCTTGATGCATGACCTTGTAAGTTGGCTTAGACTACATTATTATACATTGTATCAGGAAAAAATCCTATTACAATTTTACCTAAAAAGTCATGTATTTTATCATTTTTTTTATATAAAGTACCTGTACATGTTATATACCCCCTCCTCCTCTACACCACAAGACACCCCCCCCCCCCCCCCACACACACACAACATCTTATAGGTTATAATGCCCAATGGGATGCCCTGACATTCTCCCACCCTCTCGAGGGATTCCGAACCCCCTTTTCTATGATCAGAGATACCTAACCGATATTTTCACAACAATCTAGACATTCAACGCCCTTTACACATTAAATGCCAAAACTAATGGATACAGATTATGAAATAGCTCTACAAAACAGCCTATTTATATCTCAGCAATACCACACAGAGATAAACAAATATCTCTATCATATGATGGTGATTGGAAATTAATTTATTTGGAACATTTCAAGTGCTATATTTTACACATATCAACTGAAAACGAGCGCTCTGGAATTGCAATAGAGAATTTTATTGCAGTGCATATTATTTTGTGATTAGGGTATGAATTATCGGCCAAGTAATCACACACCCTTACAAACACTTGTGTGTCCTTACTTCGACATAAAACAGAAGATACAGTTAGTGACGTCTATCATAACAACCATTTAACAAATAAACTCCCCTTCACTTATCGGAAATTTCAGGAATCGGAAGATTTCCTCCGATTAATAATATATATGCCCCAATCTTGAGTTAGCCTTAATATAAGAAAGAATCCTACAAATCGCCATCAATGTCAATGTGTGCATGTATACAGAACATATACATGTAATACCATTATACATTGTATATAGTACCAGCTGAGTGTTATAGAAAGTTACGCCTTCTTTTGAATAGAGAAAATTTAACAGGCTAGGTTTGAATTATATAGTGAATCACATGTCTAATACTTGTAACACAATCAGTAAGTAAAGCTAGCTTCAATATAGTAAATAAACACTTGCAGCCAATTATTTCACCTGGCATTTTTCTTATTTATTTGCGATTATTCGTCATATTGGGTAAAAACTTGTCCAAACCCCATTTGGGATTAGCCAATACATTTTAAAGGAAGGGGAAGCATAGCACTCACATATACACAACACAATTTTTAAGAAAGTTTAAACATTATTGGTAAGTTACAATTTGTTTGAAATTCTTCAAGCTCAAGATATAGTTTTGTTGACCTGTATGATTTGAATATCCCCAAAAAATACTTAACACTTTTTTCTGTACCTTTTTTTACAATAGTACTCTGCTAAAAGTTGTTTTACAAATCTTCTGCAGTTGCAAAGAGAAATTCCCAACATTTTGACAGGCAGACAACAGGTAAACAACAATGTATACATACGTTGTCAATGAAAACAGAAAGCTTGAAATCAACACCTTTTTGAATGATACCACCTGGCCCGACTACTTTGTCAAGGATCGATACCCAGGAACGTGTTGTAGACAGAATTGTATAATAATGATAATTTTCCAGTCTCTTAACCAATGTTTTCGTTGATTTCCCCCCCCTCCCCCCACCCNCATTATAAATTGCAGGAATGTCAGTCATCAGATCTCAAATAATCTACCTATCTAGATATTTTGTATACATGAGTTCCTGGGTAATACCCAGTGTCACAAACATGACTAACAGAAATCTGTCCAATACTGTTGACAACCAATGTTTATTCCCGAGTCCTATATATGTTGCCAGTATTTACATAGCAAGCTTGCTTACCTCAATAGTTAAATACTTAATCAACGGTGCCAGGCCACAGGAAGAGATAGTTGTGGCGGAAGACCTTGACAGATGGCTTATTAAATACAACCTTGCCTAGTATCGTAGCCAAAGCTGGCATTTATATTTGATATCAGAACTCTACAGTAGAAAGTGGAGATTTCATATTTTACATTTATAAAGATTGTTATCTGGGGACCATATAAGACTGCTTCAGAAACCAGTTACATACAGGTGTCACAACATTTTTGTCTTGTAAAATGATAAAAGTGTTTTTTCTAAGAGACATGTTATTTTTACATGTCATACTTCAGTATTTGTATACCTAGTGTCCCAGATTTTAGTCATGGTATTATGCTCTTTCTCGTGACTTCAAAACCCCCTGCTTGAATTTCCTAACTTGAGCCTGTGGGTAGTTTTACACAACACTTCCTAAATTTTGAAAAGGAAAAAAAAATGCAGTTCTAAGCAAATGAGCAGGAAGATCACAGGATCAAGTTCAGAAATACTACCCTCTACATAGCTGTACAATTTAGCACCAGTACAATGAGGAAGTTATCTTTGATTTACAAAAGACTCAAGTGTCCTTCCAAAGGGAGTGATGTCAGCTTAATCAGTTACGGATCCGGATCCTGTACCACTGCCAAAAACTGTGATTAGCTATGCATATAAGAAACAGCGTTTCCTGACACGATAATTATAGCTTTAATTTGATAATTCATTTATGTAAAGAAAACCATTACTTTACTTTTATGAAAATTAATTTAAAGAGGAATTAAAAGTTTAACAAAATATGATCAACAGCAGTGTTCTGATTGAAAAATTTAGCAGGCCTAAACCTCAATTAGAACCCTGAATCTTAAGACTGCTTTAATTTTACTCTCACATGAGCTAACTCTAGTCAACAGAAGGATCCTGGCCCCATTGAATTGCACTACAGTTAAATTCAAAATTAGTCGAGGGAAGGTAATTGCAGTGGCAGATCCACAGGGATTTTTTGGGCTTTAAGAAACCCTCCCACCATCAAAAATCATGTATTTTCATTATTTTCCTCAATTTTCCCCCCATATGGACCCCCCCCCCACAGATAGGTCTCTGGGTCCGCCTATGTAATTGTTTATATAAATAAAATCTTAGTGTAATTCTCTTTTGTTTTGCCTGCAGTGGGAT